GAAGGCTTTGGAGAGAGAGGTAGGTGGAAGGCCGTGGGGCAGGAAGGGAGGTGGTACAAGAGTCACAGAGGGCCAGGCCCCCCGAGGGCCCAGACTGCCAGCCTGGCCATCTGTAGCCCCGTGATGGAGGGGCACTTCTGGGTGGGGGACCAGAGTGGGCTGGGTCCCTCCGAAGGTTTAAGGGAAGGAGAGGAAGGACACAGCGAGGCTGATAGCGCGGGTCCCTGAGAACAGCAGGCCCGGGCTCCACATGCCTGATTTGGGTCCCAGGGAGAATTTGGCCAGGCCCCTCTGAACTTCCTGAGTGGCTGGGACCCCCCCATCCCCTCCACACTGGGCTGGGTGGGGCCGCCCCTGCACCATTCTCCCTGCCCCCCAGCAGCCCCACAGGCTGAGGGTGAGTTCCCAGCTGTTGGGATTCCGGGGGGCAGCTGCTGTGGGACAGCTGGCTTCCCAGTCGCTCTTAGACTTCCCGTCGGATTTTTATCTTTTTTTAGTCTGTAAATGCGGGGCCGGGGCCAGCAGGGGCTTGTAACAGGCCGAGCCCTGGCCAGCCGGCCTTTCCTCCCCGTAGCACCTGGGGGCGGCGCACACGCGGCCCCGTCTCGCAGACAGGAAACAGGCCGGAGGACGCGCGTCCCTGGACCTGTGAGTAAGCAGCATTCCAAGATCAGGCCCTGGAGTCGCCGGCTCCCCGGGTCAGGTGACCAGTGTCCAATGTGGTTGCGGTGCCTGGTGCAGCTGGGGTCAGCTCTGTGACCTGGGCACGTCCCCACGCTGCTCCAATCCTCTCCGCCCACCGGGACATGGGGCCCCAACCCTGCCCAGACCTGGCTCCCTGGGGGAGGCGGCAAGGGGAGAGCAGCCGCTGTCGGGCGAGCTCCGGGGCTCCCCGTAGGGGACTTGGCCTCTCTGAGCTTCAGTCTCCTCATCTGAGAAGTGGGCGGCCAGTCCGTGTTGCTGGAAAGGGTGAAGCGGCTGAAGGCAGAGAAGGGCACCCGGAGCTCCGTGGCCACTGCCCACCCTGTGATGTGACCAGCTGTGTGGGTCCGGCTGTCCCCTGCTCACCAGGGGTGGTGATTCAGAGCGGCAACCACGCCCTGGGCCGAGGGCGGTGGCACCTGGCTCTCACCCTTGGGAGCGCGTGGCCGGTGGGAGGGACTAACAGGAGGGAAGGGGGGGAAGCAGCGTGTGCCAGGGTACGCGGGTGCCTGGAGAGGTGACGGGGAGGCGCCTGGAGCACAGGGGAGGCTGGGGTGCGGGATCTGGGAGTTCAGGTGGGAACTGAGGTCCTGGTGTGGATGGGGTCCCACAGGGACGAGCGGTCCCTGCTCTCCAGGTGCCCTGCTTCTGGCCGGCCGGTCCTGTTCCCCGAGCCCAGCAGGGAGGCTCCAGGGGAGAGGGGGCCGAAGGGCGGCCCGGGAGGCTGGGAGGGGTCCCGCCGCGGGTGGACACAGCGCTCCTCTCCCCACCTGCAGCATCCACAACGGGGTGATCGCTGTCTTCCAGCGCAAGGGGCTGCCCGACCAGGAGCTTTTCAGCCTCAACGAAGGCGTCAGGTGAGTGACTGTCCTGTCCTGTCCCAGGCCTGGGTCTGTGAGAAGCAGGGAGGGCCATGCCAGGGTGGGAGGCCCCAGCCAGCCCCCACCCAGTCCACCAGCCTCACCTGAGGTTACACCCTGAGAGCTGCGGGCACCAGTGGCCACCACATGGACCTTGACGCTGTTGCGTGGCTCTCGGGCCTGGTGGGCCTCCGCCCCCACCCCTCCTGAGGACATCTTTTCAGGAGAAACAGGGTGGGACTTGGACGGTGGCTCAAGGTAACGCCCTCATTCCCCGCTGATGTTGGGCATCAGGAAAGACTTATTCTGTTGAAGAGGAAGGACCCACCTGGTAATGACGGGAGTGTCATTCCGGAAAAGCCATTAACACCGGCTGGCTGGCCCCCGAAGGCCCCTCATTTCCTGTGAGTAGCCGAGGAACCAGCAAGTACTGGTGAAGGAGCCCCCCACGGACGGACCGGCTGCCCGGGAACCTGCAGGGCCAGCCCACATAGCGTTGTGTTGTAGTGGAGGCGGCCAAAGCTCAGAGAGGCTGAGAAACCTGCCCCAGGTCACACAGTAGCTGCAGGGAGGGATGTGCTGCCTCTGTGCCCTTCCCCTGCCACCCGTTGTGCAGACCTTCCCACTGGCTCAGGCCGAGAGTAAAAGGTTAATTTTGACAGCGATAAACCCTTCCCACCCCATCGTGGCAGAACTGAAAGGGCTCCTTTAACCAGATAAACCGAGGCCCAGGGAGGGTGAGGGGCTGGTGAAGTCGGAGAGCGGGAGGTTATTGCCTCCCAGGCCCGTGTGTGACTGTCCAGCTTTTCTCAAGCTGGTCTGGCCACCCAGGGGCTGGGCCCTGGGAGCCACCAGGGGTGTCAGTGGGGCCCTGGGAGCCACCAGAGGTGTGGGTGGGGCCACAGCAGCCCCGTGTTCCTAATATCCCTCTGCTCAGGAAACCAGGATTTTATTGCTAGCCTAAAGAATGTGCTGGTGTTTAAACAACAGAACATAAGGAAATATTTCCAAATTCCTGAGCAAGGCACCGGGACAACCCTCCAGCAGTTTCTACACCCTTCCCCTCCAGCAGCATAAACAGCAGGGGGAGGGGGAGACGGACTATAACCCTAGACCACATGCCCCTGTCACCAGCCCTGAGGGACTGCACAGAGCAGGGGCCTCCCTCAGGAGTGTGTGCCTGGGGTGGGGGGCAGAGATGTACCCCTGGCCCCCAGGGTCCCCATGATCCTTACCCAGGAAACAGGTGGAGGTCATGTGACGTGAGCCGTGGCACTCCTGGCCAGTTAGGTTATTTGGGGCAACCTGTCTTTAGCTGATTCAAAATTAGATGCTGGGCATAGTTAAGTAATAATAGCAGGGCCTTTCTTTTGAGAGTTTGCTCTGTGCCAGCCTCGTGCGATGAGCTTTCCATGCCTTAAACTCTTCACAATGCCTCAGAGGAATGGGCACCTTATCTCATTTTACAGATGGGGAAACTGAGGCACAGAGAGGTCGGGGGTAGCTCAAGGTTACAGGATTAGTCAGTGGAGCTGGGACTTGGGCCCTTCAGGACTGCCTGCCCCCCCAGCTCTCTGGCATCATGAGGCCACCTTAAATTAAGTGAATTTAATTGTGCATTAAATCCGTAATGGTCATTAGCTTTGATCCCACGAGAGCCTGTGGCTGGAGCCATCCATCGCCCCACTATCTGAATTTTCTCCTCGGTTCTCGAAGCTCTTTATGAGAGAAGGCTGTGCCGGGTGCGGGTGAGGCCGGGATGGGGAGTGGTAGCAGGACTCTAACACCTGTCAGTCATCTCCCCTCCCCGTTTTATATGTATATGTAATATTTGTCTATGTAACTCACCCTTTGAAAATGTACAGTTTAGCATTTTAGTATGTTCAGAAGTTTGTACAACCATCAGCCTATTGAATTCCAGAACATTTTCATGACCCCCTGAAAAGCCTGTCCCCATTAGCAGTCACTCCCTGTTACCCCCTCCCCCAGCCTCTGGCAAATACCAGTTAACTTTTCTGTCTGTGGATTTGCCAATTCCGGACACTTCACGTAAACGGAATCGCTCGGTGCGCACGTGGCCGTTCGTGGCCGGCTTCCCTCGCGGAGACCACGCTTCCAGGGTTCATCCGCATCGGAGCCCGTGTCAGTGCCTCCTTCCTGTTGACGGCCACGTAATATTCCACTGTGTAGAAAACACACGGTTTTGTTTACCCACTCGCCTGTTGATGGATGTTTGGGTTGTTTCTGCCCTCCGGCGGGGGCATCGTGCACAGGACTTTGTGTGGACCTGTATTTTCATTCCTCCTGGGTCTGTGCCTGGGGCCGCATTGCTGGGTCGTCTCACAGCTCTGAGGTTAGCTCCAGGAGGAACCGCCCGGCTGTCTCCCACAGCAGCCGCTCCGCTCCACAGTCTTGCCAGCCCAGGGAGGACTCAGTTTCCCCATGTTCTTACCAGTACTTGCTATTTTTGCTCTAGTGGGGGAGAAGTGCCCCCTCGTGGCTTTGGCCCGCAGTCCCCTGATGGCACGGCTGGGCATCTCTTCGTGGGCTAATTGGCCATTTGTGTCTCTTGAGGAACGTGTACGCACACCCTGTGCCCAATTTTTTCATTGGGCTCTTGGTCTCCTCTTGTTGAGTTATAAGAGCTCTTTATATATTCTGAGTCGAGACCCTTACCAGGCACTCATTTGCAAGTCTCTTCCCCATGCCGTGAGCTCTCTTTTCACTTCCTTGATGGTGTCCTTGGAAGCACGGAGGTGTGACTTTGATGACGGCCAGTGTGTCCAGCTAGTCATCCTCCTTGATCCCCTTGTTCCCTTGACCCCCTTTCTTCTGAGGTGCAGAAACGGACACACTTGCACAACAGTTCTTCCAAGTAGAAGAAAACCTTAGAGGCTAGGGCAGTTTGGGTCGCAGAGGACACCTACTTAAGGACCCAGGCCTCTTTACCTGATGGCTTCCGTGGCACTGCCGCCGGAGGACCCATGAAAGTGTAGCTGACCCAGCTCTCTGCAGGCCTGAGACGGGTGGACGTGCCCAGCCCTCATATTGGCCCCCAGCAGAGCCCCTGGGACATCCTCGCTGCCACTGTGTGGTCTCTGACTCCCACCCTCTCTCCCTCTGGTCTCCCCTCCCGCCCACAGGCAGCTGCTGAAGACAGAGCTGGGGTCCTTCTTCACGGAATACCTGCAGGTGGGTGGTCTTGCTCTCCAGCTGGGTGGTCCAGCTCTCCAGGTGGGTGGTCCTGCTCTCCCCCTGGGCTGGTCTTGCTCTCCAGCTGGGTGGTCCAGCTCTCCAGGTGGGTGGTCCTGCTCTCCCCCTGGGCTGGGATTGCTCTCCAGCTGGGTGGTCCAGCTCTCCAGGTGGGTGGTCCTGCTCTCCCCCTGGGCTGGGATTGCTCTCCAGCTGGGTGGTCCAGCTCTCCAGGTGGGTGGTCCTGCTCTCCCCCTGGGCTGGGATTGCTCTCCAGCTGGGTGGTCCAGCTCTCCAGGTGGGTGGTCCTGCTCTCCCCCTGGGCTGGGATTGCTCTCCAGCTGGGTGGTCCAGCTCTCCAGGTGGGTGGTCCTGCTCTCCCCCTGGGCTGGGATTGCTCTCCAGCTGGGTGGTCCAGCTCTCCAGGTGGGTGGTCCTGCTCTCCCCCTGGGCTGGGATTGCTCTCCAGCTGGGTGGTCCAGCTCTCCAGGTGGGTGGTCCTGCTCTCCCCCTGGGCTGGGATTGCTCTCCAGCTGGGTGGTCTTGCTCTCCAGGTGGGTGGTCCTGCTCTCCAGCTGGGCTGGGATTGCTTCCTGAACTGGCCAGAAAGGACCAGGGTCACCTACTCTCAGTGGACATGTGAAGCACTAGGTTCCAGGGCCTCTGCCTCACCGTGACTCAGTTTCCCCATCCGCATCCCCAACCGCAGATGGTTGTGAAGGTTAAATGAGAGGATCCTGGTGACGTCTCAGCACTGTGCCTGGAGTCTCAGCACTGCGCATGCAGGACTCAGGCAGCTTTCTTATTACTGGCCCACCTCCTCCTGGAACATCAGTGCGGGCCCCTAACATCCGTGTTTGAGTCATCTTGCAGCCCCAGTGCCCTGAGGCACAGAATATCAGTGTCGCCAGGGCCCCTCTGTGCCAGGTGCTGCTCCACTTGGCACTCCTGCCCCACCCCCCAGTCTGGGCAGCGGGCCTGCAGAGTCGTGAACACATGGGACCTGCCGTGGTTACGTGACTCTCTGGAGGCACGATTCACATGCCACAGGGTGCACCCACTTAAATGCCCAACTCCGTGGTTTGTACTATAGGCACCACTGTCGAATTCCCGGGCATTTCACCACCCGCCCCAAAGAAACCCCACCTTTATCATCAG